ACTACTACTACTACTACTACTACTACTACTACGACTACTACTACTAGCTACTGCTACTGCTACTACTACTACTACTACTACTACTACTACTACTACTACTACTACTACTACTACTACTACTACTACTACTACTACTACTACTACTACTACTACTACTACTACTACTACTACTACTACTACTACTACTACTACTACTACTACTACTACGAGGGGACCGAACGACTCGCACCAGGACGAGGTGCCCGAACGCCTCACACCACGAGGAGCCCGAACGACTCACACCGGGACGAGGGGCCCGAACGGCTCACACCACGAAGAGCCCGAACGACTCACACCAGGAGGAGGGGCCCGAACGACTCACACCAGGACGAGGCGCCCGAACGACTCACACCACGAGGAGCCCGAACGACTCACACCACGACGAGGGCCCCGAACGACTCACACCACGAGGAGCCCGAACGAGTCACACCAGGAGGAGGGGCCCGAACGACTCACACCAGGACGAGGGGCCCGAACAACTCACACCACGAGAAGCCCGAACGACTCACACCAGGACGAAGAGCCCGAACGACTCAAACCACGAAGAGCCCGAACGACTCACACCAGGAAGAAGGGCCCGAACGACTCACACCAGGACGAGAGGCCCGAACGACTCAAACCACGAGGAGCCCGAACGGCTCACACCAGGACGAGGGGCCCGAACGACTCACACCACGAGGAGCCCGAACGACTCACACCAGGAAGAGGGGCCCGAAGGACTCACACAAGGACGATGGGGCCGAACGACTCACCCCACGAGGGGCCCCAACGACTCCCACCAGTCGTCGTCGTCGTCGTCGTCGTCGTCGTCGCCGCCGCCTTCGTCGTCGTCGTCGTCGTCGACGTCGTCGTCGTCGTCGTAATCGTCGTCGTCGTCGCGGTTGTGGTCGTCGTCGTCGCGGTCGATATCGTCGTCGTCGTCGTCGGGTGCGTCGTGGTTGTTAAGATCATCGCTGTGGTCGTCGTCTCCGCTAAATCCCTCTTGCCTCCCACCGCTTTCTCTCCCTCCTCCTCCGCCTCGTCCTTCTCCCGCTCCCACCACAAGGAGGATGTACAAGGAGGCGGGAGGAAGGAGGAACAGGGGAGATGCGGGGGCAGGCAGACACACGCCTGAAAAACACGACTGTCGGCATGCTTCGCAAGAGTTGCTGTTTTGAGATGGGCTGGTGGGGATACGCGAAGCGTGAAGAATTAGGTGTGTGGACGCCATGACATGGACACTCTAACAATCCGATCATTTAATGAAACATGTGTTTGTCATGTGTAAAGCATGCTCTGACAATGCTTCAAACATGTTTTGCTACATAGTTAGAACATGCTTGAAACATATTTCAGACATCTGGGAGTTATTTGGCAGCACGCTTCCTCTCCATTCATCGACTTCCGCAAGATTAGGTCGGGCATGTCCTCCTACAAGCGGATTGTGGATGAAAAGTGGCAAATAGTCTAGGAAATACGCCAAACACTCAAGAATAGTCAAACATTCGCCCCTGGCTTATTTTTACATATGTTGAACATTCCTCCTGTAGAAGGACATGCCCGACTTAACCGTCTGATGAGGATGCGCGGAGAGGATGCAAGGGCCTGGGAGGGCCACTTTAGCGCTTTTGTTCGAACGAGGCGGCCAGCGAGAGTCGCCAAGGATGGGCCGAAGGGGCCAGGATGCAAGGACCTATACCCCTGGGAAGGTTGCCCATCCTTACCCTGCGGGTGGACTGTACGGTCGGGGACCGTGCTTCCCTGGCGTGCCGCCGCGGCGGCCCCGGCGACACGCGGCGCCCTGCGAGCGGACAGCGCGCCGCTCCGCTCCGCGTGGCGGGAGGCTCGGAGAGGCTCAGGACGTGGCCGCCCGGAGCAGTCCTCCTGAGATCCTTTTCGGCACTCCGGGAGCCCCCCGCCCCTCCCGAAGGGGGGCCCTGGGAGGCCCCGACGCCGGCCCAGACGGACTCCGCAGGCACCAGGCGGCCCGAGAGCGCCCGAAGACGGCCTGAGGAGGCCCCGAGAGGCCCCCAAGAGGCCCCCTGGAGGCCCACAGAAGGCCCCCGAGAGGCACAAGGCTGCCCGAGAACGCCCGAAGACGGCCCAGGGAGACCCTAGAGAGGCCCCCAGAGAGCCCCCTGGAGAGGCCCACACAAGGCCTCCGAGAGGCCCCCGAGAGATCCCCCCGAGGAGAGGACGCAGGACGACGAGCACGAGCACAGACACCCCAGGCACGACGCGCAGCGGCGTAGCGCACGTTGTACGACTCTCCCAAGCGCAGGCACGCAGAGTGACGCACGCCGCGGCTTCCTGTGCGCTCCGCGAACAACTGCCGCCCAGGTTGCTGGGCTGGCACGCTCGTGTTGCAGCCTCGGGGGACCTGTCTGGCTGCACACGTCCGAGCGATGCCAAGCTGGTCTGTCCCGTGGCGGCCCCATCCGCGTCGCATCGGTGTCGAATCCATGTCGGCCTCGTCCTCGTCGGGTCCGTGTCGACTCCGCGCCGGATCCACGCCAAGTGCGCGACGAGGCCGCATCGAGCCTGCGTGGGGCACAAGAGGAGACACCAATTTGGGGGACAGGCGAGGTCCCCCGAAGATGTAGCATATCATCTTAGTCACCGATCTCCCAAGCGTAGACACGCGAAGTGACTTGCGTTACGGCTTCCTTTGAGCTCTGCGAACAGCTGCCACCCAGATTATTGGGCTGGCATGGTTCGACCAGGAACCGAACGCTCCGGCATTACCACGAAACGCTCGTAGAACCCAGGAAAAGACTAAGAACAACAACGATGCTCTTACAACAGAAGCCCGCCCGACGTGCTGAAACACGACGCTCTCAGCCAGAAAGGCTCTAGGAGCATGTCATGCAAGCCTCCAAAGGCTCTTAGAACATTCTCTGGTGTTGAGGGATGAAAAAACGGCCCTACCCTGGGTTACAAGTGCATGGTTTGTAAACCTCCTTGGAACCCCCAAGGCCTAGAGCCGCCAGGACGTGGCACATCACGCAGAGCTTACCCTGTCAGCCCACAGGAGTTTCAGCGCACAGCGCCTCGTAAACCAGGGTAGGGGCGTTTTTTTTATGCCCTTGATGAAGACGCTTGGCCACTGCGTGCATGGTGGCGGCACCTGCCGCAGGCAGCTGGATAAAGAGAGGGGCCTCGCGCGGCGCGCGCGCGCGGGCGGCTCTGGCTCGGCCGAGCTTCCAAGGGGGGCAGCACGGAGCCACAGGGACGGGAACAAAGCAGTCCTCCTCCTCCTCCTTCTCCTCCTCTCCTCCTCCACCTGCTCCGAGGAGGAGGAGGAGGAGGAGGAGGAGGAGAAGGAAGAGGAGAGAAGGGTAGGGAGGGAGGGAGAGGAGGGGGAGGGGGGAGAGAGAGAGAGAGAGGGAAGAGAGGAAGAGGAGAGGAGAAAGAGAGCGATGGGGATGGAGGGAGGGAGGGAGGAGGGGTGAGGAGGGAGGAGAGGAGGGAAGAGGAAGAGAAGGGGGAGCAGAAGGAAGAGGAAGATACGTGCCAGCGTCAGTACGACACAATTGCATTCGGCATCCAGTACCCAGGAAGAGGAAGAGAGGGTGATAAAAGAATACGTAAACAGAGAGGGGACGGGGAGGTGAAGGAGGTGGAGGAGGAGGGATGGAGAGGGGAAGGAGGAGTGGAGAGACGGATGAGGAAGGAGGCGAGGGCGAAGAAAAGAGGAGGGAGAAAAAGGCTTTGCAAGTCCCTGTCAAATTGGCAAGTACGGGTGTCTGAAAGGATTTTGGGGTTCAACTTCGGGGGGGAATCTAGGGGGTCGTCCTCCTCATCCTCTTCCTCATCTTCATCCTCCTTATCCTCCTCATCCTCCTCGTCCGCCCTCCTTATGTTCTTCTTTTTCCTCTCTCACCATCCCCGTCTCGCTCAACACCTCCTTCATGCCATCCTCCTTTACTGTTTCTTTCTCTCTCTCTCTCTCTCTCTCTCTCTCTACTGCCCCTTCCCCCCAATTTCACCCACCCGTGTTCCTCCCTACCCCCTACCTTCATTCCCTCCTCAACCTCCCACTCCTTCCTCCTCCTGCCCCAACGCACCACTCATCCTCATGTTGTTGTCCTCAGTCACCTCGAACTTCTTCCCCTCTTCTCCTCCTTCTGCTCCTCCTCTTCCTCCTCCTCCCCCTCCTTCTGAACCGTCCTGGGCCATCGGAGGGCGAGTCAATGTGCTTGAACAACTCCCGAACATCATACCAGTTCTTGCTTATACCCCTACAGCTCGTCCAACAGGCTTAGAACCCCGAACCCGGGCACGGTGGCGGAACTCGCCATCGGCAGCTGGATCATACTTCGTTAGAGCCTTTCTCCCACGAGCCCACCCCACGCTTCGCTCCAGGAGCCTCTCTCGGCCTCAAGACGGCCGCCCCACGAGTAGAAAAACAAAACCACACAAACATTAACTTTTTGCGGTGCGCGCGGACTTCTTGACTCTGCGCTGGACCCCCCTCCCTGGCGCGCGGAGCGGGCCAGGGGCGGCGCCAGAGGCGCCGCCAGGGGGGGGCCCAGCGCAGATCCACAAGAAGTCCGCGCGGAGCGCCAAAAGTTTATGTCTATAGCGTTTTTCCCTACCTGGGCTCTGCCTAGAAGGGTTCTTACTCTCTGAGCTTAAAGGGGCCGGGCAGTGGAACCCGCCCCGGGCGGTTCCCCCAGGATCCGCCCCGCGGTTCCCCCAGTTACGTCCCCTTAGCTTAGCGTTGCGTATCTCATCTTAGCTTAGCTTAGTTCATCTTAGCTTTGCTTAGCTTCATATTAGCTCAGGTTTATATTAGCTTAGCTTAGCGCAGCGCTGCATTAACATAGCATAGCATATCCTATCATAGCCAAGCATAGCATAGCATAGCATACCGTAGCATAGCATAGCATAGCATGGCATAGCATAGCATAGCAGAGCTTAGCATAGCATAGCATATCATAGCATAGCTTAGCATTGCACAGCGCAGCATGACATAGCATAGCTTAGCTTAGCATAGCAAAGCATGGCATAGCATAGCATAGCGCAGCATAGCATAGCACAGCATAGCATAGCATAGCTCAGCATAGCATGGCATGGCATAGCATAGCATAGCAACTAATACTGCTTTCCTAGGGGCTCCAACTTCTAGGTAGGGTCGCACTGGGGTAATTTCTTTTTCGAATGACGGCACAATAACGACGCCCCAGGACGGCCTCGGGATGCCCCGCGACCAACGGAACACGGCCCAGTGACTCCCCAGAGGCGGCGAGGGGAGTCTCCGAGAGGCTCTCGCAGGCCCTAATCGAATAAGCCGCCAGGGGAGCGCCCAGGGAGCCCTCTGGAGAGGCCCTGGGACGGCGACCAGAATCTCAGGAGGCAACTACTGAGCAATGTTTAAAACATTGGATTTTAAAAAATATAGGATTGTTAATTCATGATTAACTTATGAATGAATGTATGCATGAACTCATCGTTGCTTTTAATACTAAATCCCTGCATTTTTAATACATGATCCGCACGCGGAGCATTATTGAAAACGGCACTGCACGGAAGATTAAGCCCAATTGGGGGGCTAATAAGCGGGATTAAGCCGGATTGAGCGAAATTAACTGGGATCAAGCCGGACTAAGCGGGATTGGGCCGGATGACGCCGGATTTCGGACCAAGGCAACATCTGAATTTGACCTCCCACGAGTTCCATCCGAAAGAATTTAGCCCAGAGGGTCCCGAAGAGATCCCAGCAACCGATCCGATGGCTCCCAAAACGGTTTCGCCGAGCCTTTTCCGCCAGGCCTCGGGAACCATGGCGCCAATGACGGCCCCAAGAACGCCTGCCCCTCTTGAACCGTAAGCCCAAATATGGGGGGGCGGGGGGGGAATTGTTCCCACGAGGTCAAAAATGCTCCTCCTCCTCCTCCTCCTCCTCCTCCTCCTCCTCCCCACCTCCGCCTCCGCCTCCGCCTCCGCCTCCTCCTCTTCCTCCGCATCCACCTCCACCACCTCTTTGTCCTCCTCCTCCTCCTCCTCCTCCTCCTCCTCCTCCTTCTCCTCCTCCTCCTCATCGTCCTCCTCCTCCGCCTCCGCCTCCGCCTCCGCCTCCGCCTCCGCCTCCGCCTGAGCCTCCTCCTCCGCCTCCTCCTCCTCCTCATCCTCCTCCGCCTCCTCCTCCTCCTCCTCCTCTTCAGGGAAAGCCCCGCAACGTCACGATGCAGTATCGTACCACTGCTGATCTACCGAGCATGTTCGGGCAAGTGCGTTAGAGTTGCTGCGCTGACAAGCGGGGTGGTCTGCAGGCAACTGTGGGTAAGACTGGATGCGCCGCCAATGCACGGGCACGTGGCCAGCCTAGCCTCTCCACCACCGCCACGGAAGTCCATGGGCCTTAATGCTTGCCATGGTGGACCCAGTCTTCACTGGGTGCAGCACGTGCGCTGCATATTGCAATTTGCGCGCCGCAACCTGCTCGGCAAAACCCATTTGGACCCGATTGCGGTTGAAGATTGGCGCTGGCTGGCGCATTTCTGCGGCCGCGCTGGCGCGCGCAACCTCGCGCGCGACGCGGCCAGCTTGTTTGGTACAACTGCTGCGGCCACGATGGCTCTTGCCGATGGGAACTTCCCGGCGTGTCTCAAAAACCGAGCCGCGCTGGCGCTCGGGCACTTCAGCGCGGGGCGGTGACTCGGGCGGGCGCGATATCATAGCAACGCAGACAATGGCGGCAACGATGCTAATGGTAGCGCGGGTAATGCTGATGACGATGATGACGGCAAGACCAATGACGGCACCGATGCTGATCACGCCGGCGACAATGATGGTGTCCACGTGTCGTTGGCGAAAGTTGTTGGATGATGGCGGCGGCAATGGGGGCGTTTACCGATAACGATAACGGCGGTAATGCGATGGCGCTGACGAGTGTGGCGGTGAGGAGTTGCGCGCGCGCCAAAAAAAAGAGAAATCTGGCAGATGTTGCGGAAGCGCACGCGGTTGTTCCACTGTTGGTGAAAAAGGCTCTATATCGAAACGCTTCGGGAACGAATGGTTTGATCGAATTTCGGCACGCGCGAGTGGCGGCGCGCGTGTGGCACGCACAACATCATGTGGTACTATTACGTTTACTGGGCGCATGGTGGATCAGCGCGGATGCACCGCGCGGTGGGATGAACATGCGGAATGTGGACGGAATTGCTGACGTCATGCGGTTGTCATACGATTTCAACAAATGCGGAGCATAGAAATCCCACCAGCCCTTTGGGCGTGAGTGGTTTAGGGAGCTCTCTCTGTCCTCAACCCCCCTTCTTCCCCTTCGGGGAGGGGTTTACCCCTCCCCCTACCCCCTCCCCCTAGACCTGGAGAGGGAGTTCCGCGGGTCGTCAGGGGGGTCTTTTTCGACGTCTGGGAGGGCCAAAAAACGACGACCCTCACGAGGATTCTGGCCCCGAGAGGGGGGGGGGGAGTTTGGTGCCTCAGCTCGTCTTTGAAGCACAAATCATTGATTTTACCATGGTTTTGGGCCCATTTTGGGCTTCAGAAGGGGCAGCGCTCATCGTCCTTCATAACAAGATCATTGATTTTACAAAGGTGTTGGGCTCATTTTGTCCTTCTCAGGGGGCAGCGCTCATTTGCGCTTCTGAGGAGGCCGCAAGAGGCCCCAAGATGGCCCCAAGAGGCCCCCAAGAGGCCCCCAAGAGGCCTCCAAGAGGCCCCCAAGAGGCCCCCAAGAGGCCCCAAGAGGCCCCCAAGAGGCCCCCAAGAAGCCCCCAAGAGGCCCCCAAGAGGAGGCCCCCAAGAGGCCCCCAAGAGGCCCCCAAGAGGCCCCAAGAGGCTCCAAGAGGCCCCCAAGAGGCCCCACGAGGAGCCCGAACGACTCACACCAGGACGAGGGGCCCGAACGACTCACACCACGAAGAGCCCGAACGACTCACACCACAAGGAGGGGCCCGAACGACTCACACCAGGACGAGGCGCCCGAACGACTCACACCACGAGGAGCCCGAACGACTCACACCACGACGCGGGCCCCGAACGACTCACACCACGAGGAGCCCGAACGAGTCACACCAGGAGGAGGGGCCCGAACGACTCACACCAGGACGAGGGGCCCGAACAACTCACACCACGAGAAGCCCGAACGACTCACACCAGGACGAAGAGCCCGAACGACTCACACCACGAAGAGCCCGAACGACTCACACCAGGAAGAAGGGCCCGAACGACTCACACCAGGACGAGAAACCCCAAACGACTCAAACCACGAGGAGCGTTTTCTCTCCCTCCTCCTCCGCCACGCCCTTCTCCCGCTCCCCCCCACAATGAGGATGTACAAGGAGGCGGGAGGAAGGAGGAACAGGGGAGATATGCGGGGCCAAGCGGACACACGCCTGAAAAACACGACTGTCGGCATTCTTCGCAAGAGTTGCTGCTGTGAGATGGGCTGGTGGGGATACGCGAAGCGTAAAGAATTGCAAGAATTACAATGGAAAGCCGATGGGTGCGTGATGTGTTCGTGTCGAGGCGCTTGCAAAAATGATGCGTGCAGAGTATGATGTTGACATGCGCGCGCGTGGATGTTGTGCATGTTGCTGCAAGGGGTCTTGAACGATGGCCTTTTGAGATAAACGGGCGCGCGCAGGGTACGAATTCACAAGGGTGGACGGACCGACGACGGCTGCCGTGGAATGGTGTAAATTAGTATGGGAACTGCACGACGAGGCAAAACCACGTGTAACGCGCAATGTCCCCGGTCGAACCAGGTTCGGGAAAGGAATGGAACGCGTGCTTCTTTTTGATCTGAATGTACTGTACGGGATGCATTATATGTCACCCATGTTTGTATGCGCAAATTTTTGGTTCACGCTGCGCCCGTGGTGCGCGTTATGTGGTGCAAGTCGCTCTGCCTGACTGGAAAGTGTCATGTGTACTGCTCGCGCAGTCATCCCACCCACCCACCCGCACTTTGGTTACCAAATCATTGCGGCGGCGATTGCGATGACTGAGCGGCGCTGGCTGGCACATCGTTGCGGCCGCGCTACCCCGCGCAGGGTCGCACGCACAGCGGGCAACTAGACTGGCGCGACCGACTCGGCCGCGGTGGCGCTGACCGCTGGGCACTTCCCAACGCGTCTCGCAGGCCGTTCCGGCGCGCGGGCATGTCAGTGCGAGTCGGTGGCCTGGGCGGGCGCGGTCCCATGGCGACGTCGACAAAGGCAGACACGATGATGATGATGATGATGATGATGATGATGATGATGATGATGATGATGATGATGATGATGATGATGATGATGATGATGATGATGATGATGATAGTAGCGGCACGCTGGTGACGATGATGACCACGACGACGACAAGGCCAATGACGGTGCCGATGCTGATCACGCCGACGACGATGATGGTGTCCACACGCCGGCGATGAAGGATTAGGAAGGATTTCAACATGCGCGCGTGGCCGACGCGAGCGAGTGGCCCGCATTATATTATGCGCACGGGATCGTGCCCCCCCTCCCCACCAAGCGCGCAAAGCGTCCGAACGATTCCGAAACGCACGCGCCAGAGCCCCGATTCGTCGAATATGTTGAAAATAAGAATTGAACACCCATCGTCTTCTAATCTATGTTTTTGGGATTTCGCACGAGCGCGCGCGCAAACTGCTTTGAAACACCATGATGCACAACCACTGGTTCGATATGTGTCACGGGACACTCGATCCTGAAGTCCGTCCGGCACCAAGTTTGGTGTGAAAGGTTTCGGCATGCGCGCGCAACTGCGCGCGCGTGTGCACTTCGTCCCTTCTGCTGCAAAGAATGATCGCAAAGGGAAGGTTTTTGATAAACGAAGGTGCGCGCATAGTACTGTTTGACGAGACTGCGGGGGCGGGGGTCGAACCCAGCCTGGCTGGGATGACACTAATTCATTTTATAATGAACGACGGGGCAGCATCATACGTAACCTGCACATCCCAAGAGTGGACCGATAAGTCCAGGGGGGAGGGGACAAAGTGGTAGATCCGAATTCCTTCTTCGGAGAAAGACAATATGCGTGTCGCAATCTACGTGATGCCATCTCACGAGTACAAGATCAGCTTTATGGCACCATTACTGCGGCGCACCAGGTGAGCCTGGGCGTCGCATTGCAGGCTGTGTGGCGCAATATGTGCACGCTACTTGCTGCAGCACGGTGCGCATCCGGAAACGCCACCCGGCGCCGTGAAGGCTCAGTAAGAAAACCAACATGCTGACCCCCCCGTTCGCGACAAGGGGTGCGCCACGCATGCGTGGCCCGTGCGTCGCTCGCGCGCCAGTCGCCGAAGAGGCCGGCCGTCCTCGCGAACATGCACGTCGCCCTCGCAAGGGGGTCCTTTGGTGAGTGTACGCGGCCAGGCACGAGGCGGGCCAATGGGCGGGCGCCGGCCGCAGGCCTGGCAGCGCCCGCCAGCGCACGGCTAGCGGGCACCAGGCGAGCACGGGCGGCCTACCCAGCCGGAAGTCTACAAGGGCAGCCCCGCGCACGGGGCGGGCACGGGCGGACAGGGGGGCGGAAGCCTGGAGGCGCCAGCCAGCTCACGGAGAGCGGGCACGCGGCGGGGTGCGGGCGGGCACCAGGCGAAGGTCCCCGGAAGCGCAGGCCAACGCCGCACGAACCAGAGCAGAGCCTCTCAGTGCCAGGCACTGCCTGGGGAACGACCATTGACCATTACCATGTCCAGAGCGTCAGCTCCCAGGACAGGATACCAGATGTCACTGCGTACGGTCGGGAACTTTACGATACACGCTATCACGCTATCACCAAGCATGGCACAGCTAGTCGCTGGGCCTGCCGTGGCGAAACGCTATCCAGATCATCCCGACCGTATCCCTGTGGCTCTGCCCCCCCGAAACAGCATCGTTTAGCCCATCCTTACCCCCACTGACGTGGCCTGGGCCCCTCTGGCCGATTCACCCCCCAGATGGAGATATAGGCTGTTCCCTGCGGACTTCGATGAGCAGGTCTCCAACTGAGGTGGTGGCATGTGGGGATCGGAATGGGAATGGAGATGGGCATAGGGATCGGTGGAACGATACTGAGTCCCAGTGGCTCTGCACCCCCCGAAAGAAACAGCAGCGGCGGCGATCCTCAAGCTCCTGGCTGGGTTCGCCCAGTGCTGGGCCTCAGCCGCCGCTGCGGGCGGAGGCGGCGAGGCTCGCGGACGCGCCCGCGGCGGTGTCTGGAGACGGCGACCACGGCGGCGCTCGCGTGCTCGCCGAGTCGGGGCTCCGGCGAGCGGGCGCGGGCTTTGCCTCGTCGGGTCTCAGCGGGTTCAGCAGCGGCTGGCGCGCCAGCTCGGCGACGGCCATGGCTGCCGCCTTCTCGCCCCGCCCGGCCGCCTGAACCAACTCGTCAATGCGCTGACCCAGGCGCTGGTCCGTGAGCCACAGCTGCTCGTCCAGGGCGGAGATGTCGCTCTGGCTGCTCTTCGCCAGCGCCCTCGTCTCGGCGCGGAGCTCCGCCGACAGGCGCTTCTGCAGGGAGCCGAGCTCGCCCTCCACGAACGAGGCGAAGCGCTGCCGCAGGCCCTCCACCTCGCCCTGCAGGGCGGAGTGGTTCCTGTCCGCCTGCCTCCGCAGATCCTCGTGCCCCTCGCGCACGCGGAGCTCCAGCGCCTCGCGGCCGGCCACGGCGGCGGCGATCTCCGCCTGCTGCCGCTCCAGCTCCGAGGCCAGGCGCCCGCACTGGTGCCGCGCCTCGCGCCGGACATCCTCGGCCTGGCCGCGGCCCTCCTCGGCGGCCCGCCGCCCGGCGTCGACGCGCTCCTCCAGCTGCTGCAGCAGGTGCGCCAGCTCCTCCAGCTCGCGCCGCGCGCTGCCGATGTCCTTCGTGGCGGCCGACTGCAGGGCGTCCAGCCGCTTCGCCAGCGCCTGCGCGGTCGCGGCCAGCTCCTGCAGGGTGGCCTCCAGCCCGTCGCGCGCCGCGGTCGCGGCCGAGGCCTCCCGCGCCGCGGCCTCGGCCCACCGCTCGGCCTCCTCCGCCCGGCACGCGGCGGACTGGAGCGCCGCCCCGACGCGGCCCTGCAGGTCCTGCTGCCACGCGAGCTCGTCCTCCTGGCGCGCCCTCGCGGCGCGCCGCGCCTCCTCGGCCGCCTCGGCGTGCCAGCCGCCCAGGCTGCCCTCCAGCCGCTGCACCGCGGCGCCCAGCTCGCCCAGCTCCCGGCGCATGGCGGCCAGCGGGGTGCAGGCCTCCGCCAGCTCCTCGAGCTCCTGGCGGAGCCTGGCGGCGCTGTCGCTCTGGAGCCGCTGCAGCTCGGAGATGCCCGCGCGGTGCCTGGCGGTGTCGTCGGCCTGCCGGCCCTGCAGCTCCTCCACGGCCGCGGCCTGCACCCGCAGCCTGGCCTCCAAGCCCTCGGCGTCCTGCCCCACCGTGCGCTGCAGCTCCTCCACGGTGGCCACCACGCGCTCCAGCGCGAGCGCCGAGTCCTGCCCGCCTCCCGCGCGCAGGGCGTCCACCGCCGCCGCGAGGCGCGCGTGGCCGTCCGCCAGGCCTGCCAGCTGGTCGCCCTGCTGCCGAAGCGCCGCCTCCAGCTGGCGGCGGCCCTGCTCCACCTGCTGCACCGCCACGGCCACGGCCGCGCTCGCCTCGCGGCGGCCCTGCTGCGCCAGGGCGCTCCCGGTCTGGCGGCTGGCCTGCTCGACCCGGTTGTCCACCAGGCACTCGATCCAAGCGCGCAGCGCCGGAGTGATCGCTCGAAGAAGAAAAACACACAGATAAAAACAAACTTTTGGCGATGCGCGCAGATGTCTTGGATCCCTGGCGCGCGGAGCGCGCCAGAGGCGCCGCCGGGGTGCCCCCATGTGCAGCGCGGATCCGAGAGCTCCGCGCGGAGCGCCAACAGATTATGTTTATGATGTCTTTTCTCGTTCGAGATCGTACAGGCGTCCGCAACTGGCACGCCAGGCGGCGTCACGATGGCCGTTGGCGTGGACTGGTCGCTCACGACGATCGTCTGCTCCCCCCGCAGCGGCGACGCGGGCGGCGCCCCCGCGACGGAGCGCCCCAGGGCATCGACGCGGCACGGAGGCTGCCTCGCCATGGGCTCGGTGCACCAGGCCGGCTGCATCTTCGGAAGCTATGCTCCAGAGCGTGATCCGAAACGGCTACGGAGGAAGCTGTGGACCTAGGCATGCTCGCGTCGCAAAAAAAAAATCAGGGCGAGAAAAGTGTGGCCATTCTCGGCCTCGGGGGGCCCTCGCCGGGCCTCGGGACCGTCAACAACAAGATTCAGGACGAAAAACCGGCCCCGGGGAACGGGTCGGCACTTCCAGGGACCCCGTCCTGAAAAAATCAGGACGTCGCATGTCGGGATGTGGATCAATGTAGACGTAAAGTCATGCACTGTGAATCGAGGAGCAGAAGACGCAGTCGAACTCTCGATGCACGGGATCGCGCGCCAGGATTGCAGCGGGCATGCCATGGCTACAGCGGCCACCGCTCCCGAGCAACACTTCGGATGTAGATCGGAGGAACGGCCCAGATTCACGAGTCCATCCTTAGCCAAACACGTGTTAAGAATGCACTGGCTGAAACGTCTGCTGTTACGTAGCGCTCTGAAGTTGCGCAGAACACATGGGGGCATGGTCCTTCAGACTTGTCCGGCATCTCCGTTGTGCCAGCGCAGCCGCTTCGAGGTTCCTGTGTTCCTGGGGCACATGTCCAGGTATCGGAGAAGTCCCACCAGCCCTCTGGGCGAAGGTGCTTCAGAGCGGTTCCTCTTCCAACCTCCTTCTTCCCCATCGGGGTGGGGTTTGCCCCTCCCCCCTGACCCCCTCTGGATTTGGACGGGGGGGGCGGGGAGCAGTCAGAACGTCCAAGAGGACTCCGAGATGGTCTCAATAAACCAACATGGCCTCCAAGACGACACAAGATCCGCCACCGTGCCTTGTGCACACTGTAGAGGCCTCCTAGACGGGGTCGGAGTAGATGGGGGCGGAGGATCGCGCCGCATCGCCAATACATCGGCGATGTATCGGCGATGTGTTTGCGATGCACTGGCGACGCATCGTCGACGTCGGCGATGCATCGGCAACGTTGACGTGAAGCAAATCGGGCTCCGCATCGAGCCGTATCGGCGATGCATCGGCGATGCGGCGCGATCTTCCGACCTCATCTGCTCCGACCCCATCTGGGAGGCCCAGAGTGCCTTGTGCACGCTGAGGTGTGGAAGAATGTCGAGGGCTGCCCGGTATGGCTGCTGTACCTGAGAAGGGACGCACCTCCTCTGTGGTTGACCCAACAAAAACTCCAGCCGAAAGGGGGGTGGTGCAATAGGTTCGGGGCAATCGTGCTGCAGATGTATCGCGCCAGAAAATTGTACTGCATTGTATTGCCACGAATGTGTTGCGCGCGAAAGCCCACCAATACATCTGCGCACCGGAATGTATTGTACACCCCGAACCTATCGCAACCCCACAAACCTACTGCAACAATTCTATTGCACCACCCCCTTGTCGCTGGACCCCCTGTTGGGTCAACCAAATCCTCCCTTCGCCGCGCCTCACCGTATGCACCGCCTTCCCCCCTCCGGAGGCCACGATCCCTCACAACATACAGCCATGGGCCCGCGCTCCCGAAGCTGCGATCCCTTGTTAGAAATGCTTCCAAGACGGGCCAGGCCCCAAGACGGCCCAAGACAGACCCAAAATGGCCTTCAGAGTTCCCAAAGACGGCCCAAGAGGGCCCCCACGGGATCCCCAGGACTGCCTCACAGGGGGCATGACAGCCCCAAGACGGCCCCAACGAGTTCCACGAGAGCTCATCCAGTAGAGCTCTCCTGGGACTCGTTTAACGTGTGACGGTGTTTCGTTACTCATCTTCCTCCTTGTCCTCCTCCTCCTTCTCCTACTGCCCATCCTCCTCCTGCTCCTCCTCCTGCTCATTCTCCTCGTCAGCAGCATCATCATCACCAGCAGCAACATCATCATCATCATCATCATCATCATCATCATCATCATCATCATCATCATCATCATCATCATCATCATCATCGTCATCGTCGTCGTCGTCGTCGTCGTCGTCATCATCATCATCATCATCATCATCAGCAGTATCATCACCACCACAACCATCATCATCATCATAATAATCATCATCATCATCATCATCAGTAGCATGATCAGCCGCATCAGCATGAGCATCAGCATCATGGATATCATCAGCAGCAGCATCAGCCTCATCATCCTTATCAGCAGCATCAGCATCATCATCATCAACAGCAGTATCACCATCATCATGATCAGCACCAGCATCGCCATGATAGTCATAAGCATCATCATCACTATGAACATCATAAGCATCATCATCAGCATCATCCTCGTCTTCATAATCAGCATCATAAGCATCATCAGAATCATCGCCATTATTATTAGCATTATTAAGATCACCACCATCGTCACAGCAGCAACATTCTCAGCATCATCAACAGCAGCAACAACCTCATCATCATCAGCAACAGCAGCAGCATCCTCACCGGCATCTTCGTCCTCCTCATCCTCATCCATGCCATCACCACGAACACAACCGCTGCCGTTAATATCGTCATCATCAGTAGCATCAGCATCATCATCATCAGCAGCAGCAGCAACAGCAGCAGCATCATCAGCATCATCATCACCAGCATCAGCAGCAGCATCATCAGCATCATCAGCATCATCAGCATCATCAGTATCAGCAGCCTTGACCTAATCATCAACATCGTCAGCAGCATCAGCCGCGACACCAACATAGTCATCATCATCACCAACATCGTCAATCGACAGCATCAGCCTCATCATCATAAACACCATCCTCAACATCATCAGCAGCATCATCACCATCACAACCACAATCGGCATCGGCCTCATCACCAGACACTCCCTCATCATCTTCCTCCGAATCAGCCGTCGCATTAGCATCATCAACGGCCGCATCAATTGCGACATCATTATCATCATCCTCATCAGCAGAAGCATCATCATCATCACCACCATCAGCATCATCATCACCACCATCGCCATGATCATGACCATGATCAGCAGCAGCATCATCATCATCATCATAATTCGTACCAGCAGCATCAGCATCAGCATCAACATCTTCACTTTTCTCAGCATGATCAGTATCGCCAGCCATTCCACCACCATCGCCATAGCCAGCATCAGTTGCGTCATCGTCATCAGCATCACGATCATCCTCATCCTCATCCTCGTCCTCCTCCTCCTCCACCTCCTCCTCTGTTCATCACCATCATCAGCAGCAGCATCATCATCATCACCATCATCATCAGCAGCTGTATCATCATCAACAACATAATCATCAGCATCATCATCACGGCCTTCCCACCGCTGAACGGTCACCATCCAGAATGCTGGGCTGGCACGGTGGCGGGGCTTGTCCCATGCAGCTGGATAGATAGCGTCAGATGGCGCGGGACGGCGTCCAGAATGCGATCAAGAGAGACCTCGAGAGGCCCTCAAAACGGCACCGAATGACCACTCAGCCGCCCAACAGTGCCCACAAGAGGCCAACATCCGACAAGAACCTCATAGGCACTAACGATGGTTACCGTCTCGCACGTTCGCATCCGATGGGCTTCGGAGGACTCAAGATGGCTCGAAGATCGTCAAAGAGAGCCCCAAGAGGACCCACAGGTTTCCAAGGTGGCACCACGAGCGCCTAACAACGCTCCAAGAGCGCCCAGAGGGGGCTGCATGAGACGAGCTGCTCTGGGTCTCCATCCGCCTTATCCTCCTCATCCTCCTCCTCCTCATCATCATCATCCGCCCCCCCTAATCTAACCTCCTCATTCATCCTACTCACTCCTCCTCAATCCTCCGCATTCTCCTGCTCTTACGCATCCGTTGATGGCAAGCTCCAAATTCCACTCCTGGGTATGCACATGTTGATTCTGAGTTTGGGATTGACGGCTGCCTCACCTGTCGGTTAAATTGCATGTTCCTACACGTCCCTGATCAAGGCAACTCGACTGAACGTCGTTTCTGGATGGGCTGGTGGTGATATGCGAAGGGTCAGGAATGGTCCCACCCCTCTCGGTCGTCGTCCGGCGTCAAACGGTCCAACTGCCCGATGCGCACTTCCCAAACATGCCCCAAAGATTTGTTGTTGCTGCGCAAAGCCCCATCGCGGCGATCCCTGATCCGCCACCGCACCGCGCTACTTGCCCGCGCGAGGGCGCCCGTCTGCCTACGACTGCGGTGCCCTCGGACCTCACCGAGAGCACATTTCCGAAGAGAGGGAGGATCAGGAAAGGACTTCCCCTCGGACGAGGACGAGGCCGATAAGACGCACAGAGACATACAAATACTATATGTCAGCCTTGGAGGTGCGCGTCCGACCCGAACATATAGTATACCCATCTTGTAGTAAATCGTTTCCCGAGCGGTGCGGCCAGAAAGCGCCCATCACGATGTATATACTCTACGATTTCTCGGTGCGCGCGTCGCCCCTGGGGGGGGCGACGTACACATAGTTTAAGTATGTTGGGTTGACGCCGAGACGAAGACGAAGGCGCGACGCTGCCCGACGCGCCCGTGCAGCCTCACGGCGCGCCCGGCTTGGCGCGGAGAGCCAACGTACCGCGTCTGAGCAGCCGCAGGGCAACATAGGCGCAGGAGAAGGACGAGCCGAGCAACAGGATGCCGAGGGACCAGAGCGTCCCGGCCATCCAGCCCTCGGTGGCGATGACCACTCCGCAAAGGCACAGCGCCGTCGCGTAATAATCCCAGATGGTCTGCAGCAGCCAGGCGAACGACCAGCTGGCGCTCCGGGGCTGCAGCGGCACCAGCGGGAATCGCCGACAGGTCGCGACCAGCGAGGCCGCGAAGGCGGCCCCGAGGGCCAGGTACAGCCAGCCGGCGGCCGTGGCTCCTGGCTGCAGAAGAGCTCGAAATTGAATCGATAAGCCGGATCGGCGATCGACATGAATCGGATCAGCGGGAATCGGCAGCCGAGTCGGGAAAAGTCGAATCGGCGGAGATCGGCGGGCTATAAGTTGGCCTCCAGTAGAAAGAACCGGAGCCCACACATCGGAATCCGAAGCCGAATTCGGCGGTGGACAAACCTCCCTTTAGTAAACCACCCTTTAGTGAAAACGGCCTGGGACCGAAACCGACGGACCTGGACCCGCAAAAATGACGGACGCGACGCCCCCTCGCGAACCGAAAACGGCCAATTCGCTAATCGGCGCGTCAGGGTAGGAGGCCTGTCCACCCCCGACACATCGAACATCGGAGTCGGACTCCGTCGAAGCCGAACATCGAATGGAAAAGCGAAGGAGGCGCAGCGAGCCCTGCCTGGCCGCCCCCTCGGCTGCGCCGCCGCCTCGCCGCCCGCCGCCGGAGGCCGGCGCAGCCGCCCCCGCGCCCCGAGCGGCGCGCCCCCGCCGGCCCGCGGCGGGCCGGCTGGCGGGCGCCGGGGCCGCAGGCGCGGCCCGGCGAGGGCGCCCGGGGCCCGCGCGGCAGGCGCTGCGGCGCGCGGGGCCGCCGCGGGCGCCTGCACCATGGGGAGCCCAGGAAGCGGAGCGGCGAGTCGGAGCGGCGAGGTCGGCACGAAAGCGGAGCGGCGGGAAGGGGCAGCCGAGGCGGGAAGGCTCGAGTGGGCAGACATCGGCTGGCTATGGAGCCTCCAGTCCGGGAAAGCCGAGCCCACAGCGGAATCCGGAATCGAACCGAATCGGAATCGGAGGCAATCGAGGTCGAATCGAATCGAATCGAAGGAATCGAATCGAGCCCTGCCTGCACTGGCACCGCCATGGCCTTACAGAGAGCACGCGGCAGCCGCGCGCTCCGGCGCTCCGGCGCTTGAGATACAGACGACAGCTACTTCCCCGCCCCTCCTCCATCCACGGAGCCATGGCGCAACGTCATCGCCCTGAAAGCCTTCAGCCTGCTCCTCCAGTCCCCCCAGGGGGAGGGAAGGAGGAGGGGGAGGAGCAATGGGAGGACGAGGAGAAGCAGTAGAGGAGGAGGCAGACGAGGAGGTAGGAGGGAGGAGGAGGGGGTAGGAGGGAGGAGGGAGGGAGGGAGGAGGAGGTAGGAGGTAGGAGGAGGTAGGAGGGAGGAGGAGGAGGAGGAGGACGAGGAGGTAGAAGGGAGGAGGAGGGCGAGAAGGAGGAGGCGCGTGAGGAGTCAAAGTGTAAAAGTAGGAGGCGTGAGGCGAGGAAGAGCAGGAGGCGCAAGAGTAGGGGGGAGAACGAGAAGTTGAAGGTGCGGGGGCACGGCGTTCAATTGTGCCAGGGTTGCCGCACTCTACAACCTCCTCCTACTAACCATATTCCTCATCCTTCTCTTTATTCTCCTCCTCCCCCTCCATCATCATCATCATCATCATCATCATCATCATCATCATCATCATCATCATCATCATCATCATCATCATCATCATCATCATCATCATCATCATCATCATCATCATCATCATCATCAGCATCAGCATCATCATCATCATCATCATCATCATCATCAGCATCATCATCATCATCATCATCATCATCATCATCATCATCATCATCATCATCATCATCATCATCATCATCCGCATCATCATCACCATCAGCATCATCCTTATCATCATCCGTATCATCATCCGTATCATCATCATCATCATCATCATCATCATCATCATCATCATCATCATCATAATCATCATCATCATCATCATCATCATCATCATCATGATCATGATCATGATCATCATCGTCATCATCATCACCATCATCATCATCATCAGCAGCAGCAGCAGTAGCATCTTCATCATCATGCTCATCATTGTCATAAGCATCATCATCAGCAGCATCAGCACCATCATCACCATCATCATCAGCAGCATCAGCATCATCAGCAGAATCATCATCATTTCATCAGCATCAGCATCATCTGCATCAGCATCATCAAAATCAGTACCATCATCATCAGCAGCATCATCATACCATCAGCATCAGCATCAGCATCGACATCATCAGCATCATCAGCATCATCAGCAGCAGCATCATCGGCATCGTCATCGTCATCACCAGCATCATCGGCATCAATATCGTCGTCATCGTCATCGAAATCAAACTCAGCAACAGCAGCGGCAGCATTATCCTTATTAGCCAAGCCATCATCAGCATCAAAATCAGCACTATCATCATTCTGCTTATCATTATCAACATCAGCAGCAACGTCCTGATCGGCAGCATCATCGTCACCACCACCGACATCATCATCAGCAGTGTCACCATCATCATCAACAGCATCATCATCATCGTCAGCACAATCAGCATCACCATCATAATCAGAATCAGCAAAATCATCGTCGTCGTAACCCTCCTCATCACCATCATCATCATCGTCATCGTCATCGTCAGCATCAGCATCATCATTATCAGCATCATCATCATAAGCAATACCATCTTAAGCAGCACCCCCAAATCAGGCACCAACGATCGGCATCAAAGTCATCACAAACAGCCCCAAAAATCATGTTCGTCACCATCGACGTCCTCCGAATCGCCAGTGGCATCGTCATCGTCATCATCAGCATCATCATCAGCATCGTCGTCGTCGCATCGTCATCCTAGTCATCAACATCATCAGCATACTCACCGTCCCCGTCACCGTCACCACCGTCATCATCAGCGCTCTCAGCATCATCAGCAGCATTAGCATCATCATCATCCGCATCATCATCACCATCAGCATCATCCTTATGATCATCCGTATCATCATCCGTATCATCATCATCGTCATCATCATCAGCATCATCATCAGCATCACCATCAACATCGTGAGCGTCATCACCATCGTGATCATCATTGCCGTTACCATCATCCTCAACGCCACCATCAACATCGTCAACATCGGCATCCTCATATACCATCTCCATCATCAGCATCATCATAAGCAGCAGTAGTATCAGCCTCATCATCGTCATCAGTATCATCAGCAGCATCACCATCAGCAGCGTCATCGTCATCGTCATAGTTATCGTCATCCTTACCCTCATGCTCCTTCTCCTCCCTGTCTCTCTCTCCTCCTCCTCCTCCTCCTCCTCCTCCTCCTCCTCCTCCTCCGCCTCCTCCTCCTCCTCCTCCTCCTCCTCCTCCTGCGTGTGGTTAAGCTGCTTGGGGTTCCGCCTTCGCTGAGCTCGGGACGCCTTCCCCCGAGACTTTGTCGCCTGCCCCGACGTGGGACGGCACAAACTACGTCCCAAATGCTAGGCGCGGGCCCAGAGGATCCTCGATCCTCCTCCTCGATCATCGATCCTCCTCCTCCTCCTCCTCCTCCTCCTCCTCCTCCTCCTGTTCCTCCTCCTCCTCCTCCTCTGCTCCTCCTCCTCCTCCTCCTCGATCCTCCTCCTCCTCCTCCTCCTCCTCCTCCTCCTCCTCCTCTTCTCGATCCTCGAGCCTCTTCCGCGTGAGACGACGATAACTCGGACCCACCTCCTGGGCGCGGGCCCTGGGCCACCCTGTGCGGACGCGACTCGGGGGTAGGAAGCCTGCTGCGGCAGCTCGTGAGAGCCTCCCGTGCCGTGGAGGCCCGACCACCAGAGGAACCTTCAACAGGAAACCCAAGCCTGAGACCTAGTCGACGCTAATCGACGCTAGTGGACGCTACATCGACGCTAATCGACGCTAGTCGACGCTGAATCGGCACTATCCCATCGACTCCCAAACGCCAGCCGACGCGAATCAACGCTAAAGACGGAATTCAGAAGCTAAAGTGGAGGCCAGCCCACAAGAAACCGTCCACAAGAAACCCAACCCAGAGACCCCAGGACGTCCATCTATATTTGGTGGGAACGTCACGCCTTCCACCGCAAAACCATCGCACCCCAAGAAGCCCAGGGCACCCTGGAGGCTAGCAGGGTGTTTCTTGGCATGGGCCTCCACTGCACCGACCAGAGTTACGAGGGTACACAAACACCTCCCACGGTTTGCCACCGAACATCTTGATCCAGACGCGGTTCGGCGGGAAGTGTCAGCCTGGAGGCATAGCTCGTCGCAGAAAGCGACGGATCGAATTACAGTGGCCTCGGCTTAGACGGCCGTCGCAGCGGCCGCAGATACCCCGCGGGCATGGGCGTTGCAAAGCTCACGCGCACACAGCTCGGCTGGCCAGGCAGCGACAACCCTCAATCACTAGACGATGCCCATCTGGAACACTGAAACAAAGATGGCGCAATTCCCCGCGAGCTCGTCGAGGCAGTGGTCCCCGATCAGCCGCTAGTCACGAGAGTAATCAGGGGGAACAGGTGAGGAGGAGGACCTCCGCCTCCTCCTCGTCCGCCTCCTCCGCCGCCTCCTCCGCCTCCTCCACCTCCTCCTCTTACTTCTCCTCCTCTGCCTCCTCGATATCCTCCTCCTCATCAGCAGCATCCTCAGCAGCAACAACATCAGCATTGCCCTCATCATCACCATCACCAGCACCATCGTCATCGTCATCGCCAGCATCACCATCGTGATCATCATTGGCATCACCCTCACCATCACCGCCACCATCAGCATCGTCAACATGAGCAGCCTCATCCGCCGCATCATCAGCATCATCAGCAGCATCAGCATCAGCATCATCAGCAGCAGCAGCATTAGCACCATCGTAAGTAGTATCAACATCATCATCGTCATGATCATCGTCATCATCCGACTCCTAATCATCACCATCATCAGCATCGTCAACATGATCAGCACCAGCATCATCAGCTGCAACAGCAACACAATCATCATATACATTGCATCGGAATCATCATCATCGTCTTCATCATCATTCAATGTGAACAGCTTCATCATGAGTATATGATTAGTCTTCACCATGGTCAGCAGCATCATGAGCAGCATCAACAGCAACATCAGCAGCATAAGCATAGGTATCATCAGTAGCAGCATCAACAACATATTCATCAGTATCAGCATCAGTATCAGCAGCATCATCATCAGTATCAGCATCAACATCCTCAGCAGCCTCAATAGCACCAGCATCAGCATCAGCATCAGCATCATCAGCATCACCATCCCCATCATCATTTGCAGCAGCATCATCATTAGCATCACCAGCATCATCAACATCATCAGCATCATCATCGTCATCCCCATCAGCATCATCATCATCATCATCGTTAGCAGCAGCATCACCATCATCAGCATCACCATCGTCATCAACGCCATCAACATAATCCAAAGTCATCCTTTTCCTGCTCCTCCTCGCCCTCTCTCCTCCTTTCCCTCAATCCCTTTTCACAAACACACACACACACGCAAACACAAACACACATCCACACACACACACACCAAATTACCCACCATGCCCCTGGAGAGAGAGAGAGAGAAAAAAAAAAAAAAGGACGGTGAGGGAGGGACGATGGAGGAGGACGGAGAATTGAGGGAGGAAGACATCCGTGTAGAAAGATGCGTCCATCCCGCCCGCCTGGCAGCGCCGAGGCAAAGGCACGCCTGCAGCGCACCCCCGAGACCCGCGAAAGATGGAGCTGCAGCGCGCAGCCACGGCTTCGGCAGAAGATAGAGGGAGGCGGAGGCGGAGGAGGAGGAGGAGGAGGAGGAGGAGGAGGAGGAGGAGGGGGAGGGGCAGGAGGAGGAGGAGGAGGGCAAGAGAGGAGGAAGAGGAAGAGGAGAGAGAGGAAGGAAGAGGAAGAGGAGGAGGAGGAGGAGGAGGAGGGGGAGTGGCAGGAGGAGGAGGAGGAAGGAGGAGGAGGAGGAGGAAGGAGGAGGGGGAGGAGGCATAGAAAGGTGGGGGCTGAGGAGCACCCCCTCCCCGTCCCCCCCCCCCGGGGCCATCGCACGACTATCAACACGGCCTGCCCGATGAGTAGCAGCGCCAGCCAGGGCCGCAGCTTGCGCGCCAGCGGCCTGGCCTCGGGCTGGCCGCCATCGCCTCCCGCCGCCCTCGCCCCCGCGCCAGGCGGGCGAGGCACGGGAGCGGCACCCGCTCTGGCATCGCTCGGGCAACCGTCCCCCGCGCATGCCTCGACTGCGCGCGAGCTCCTCCCCCTCGCCGAGGAAACAGACACACGCCTCCTCCTCCCCCTCCCCCTCCTCCCTCCTCCTCCCCCTCCTCCCCCTCCTCCTCCCTCCTCCTCTCCCTCCTCCTCCTCCTCCTCCCCCTCCTCCTCCTCCTCCTCCTCGTCCCCGCATGTCCTCCTCGCCGAGGAAGCAGAGACACGCCCGAGCGACGCCGAGCCCAGGCACCGCAACCACCGTGCCATGCCTGGGCTCCACTCTTCTGCTCCGACGCCACGGGTCCTCCTGCTGCTCCCCTGGGGAGCTTTTGTTTTTATTCGGCGTTTCGACATTGGGCGGAAAGGGGGGGAGGGGGGGGGGTCTGGCTCCGGACCTCTGCTGAGTGCGACTGTTTGCGACAGTGCGTCGTATGGGGGAGGGACTCCACCTGCTCGAAACGACCGCCCGACCGTGGGCCGAAGACGTCCCGCGCAACAGAAAACACAAAACGTTTTGCAACATATCGATGTCTCTGTTGCCTCCGTGATCCGTCGTCCCTCGTCGTCGTCGCCCCTCGTCGTCGTCATCGTCGTCGTCGTCGTCCGACGTCCTCGTCGTAGACCCTCCCCGTCATCGTCGTTCGCTGCCGTCGTTCGTCGTCCACCGACATCCGTAATCCGTCATCCCTCGTCGTCCCTCGTTGTCGTCGTCGCCCCCCGTCGTCGTCGTCCGTCCTCGTCGTCGGTCGTTGTCGTCGTCGTCGTCGTCGTGGTCCCTCCTCGTCGTCGTCGTCGGTCGTCTTCCATCGACCCTCGTCCGTCGTCGTCGTCCCCCGTCCGTCGCCCGCCGATGTCTGTCGCCGTTGGGTGTTCCTGCATCCTCCATTGTCCATCGTCGTCGTCTGTCGCCCGCCGACGTCTGTCGCCGTCGGGCGTCCTCCATCATCCATCGTCGTCGTCCGTCGCCCGCCGACGTCTGTCGCCGTCGGGCGTCCTTCGCCCGTCGTGGCCGTCCGGCCTCGTCGACCATCGCCCGTCGTCCGCCGCTGTCGGTCGCCGCCGCCGCCGTGGCCCGCGGCCCCCTCCCCCGGAGGCAGGCGTGGAAGCGCCAGCCGCGCGGCCGGGGGCGTGCGGCGGCGAGGGCTCCATTGGTGCGGCGGCGAGGGCTCCATTGGAGCTTCGAGCCGCGGCGGGGGCCGGTCGCCGCGCTGCCACACGCCGTCGACGCCGGCCTCGTCGCCTGCGTCGCGGTCGTCTTCCCTCGCGCCTCCGGGGTTCCAGAGCCCTCTGGAGGGCCATCGTCCGGCCTCCTCCTCCTCCTCCTCCTCCTCCTCCTCCTCCCTCCTCCTCCCTCCCCCATCCTCTCCTCCTCCTCCTCCTCCTCCTCCTCCTCCTCCTCCTCCTCCTCCTCCTCCTCCTCCTCCTCCTCCTCCTCACCCGCCGCCTCTACACTTGCTCAGTACGGGCACTGGTCTACTCTCCCCCCCCCCCGAACCTGGGCTTCGGGGGCCCGGGCTCTGCCGTGCGCTGTTGCTCTTGACACAAGACTGCCCACAGAGTGGTGTTCCATCTGCAGCACGGGTCCCATCTCCGGGTCGGCGGTTTGCCCCCGTCCCTCGAGAAGGCGCTGCCCCCGCAGCGCAGGTCACTTTCCCGGATCCGACAACTCCCTCGTCGGTGTCGCCCCCCCCTTTTCCCGTCCTCCGCCTTCCCCCTGGTCCTCCTTCTCCTCCCGCACCTCCTGTGCATGGATGCTGCTGCTCCTGCCCCTGCTCCTCCTCCTGCTCCTGCTCACCCTCCTCCTCCTCCTCCTCCTCCTCCTCCTCCTCCTCCTCCTCATCTTCCTCTTCCTTCGCCTCCTCCTCCTCCTCCTCCTCCTCCTTCCTCCTCCTCCTCCTCCTCCTCCGCCGCCTCTTGCTTCTATTCGTTATCTGATTAATTCGTCACCTCCACCTCCTCCATGTGCATAGTCTCACTTTCGGATGGCGTATCACACGATGGAGCCATTTGGGCGATCCAGGTCCGCTAGGACACCCGTGAAAAGGACATCGTGGGATGGGTGGGAGGGGTGGGACGTCAGATAAGGCGCGCGCACCTGCCTTGTCTTCTGCCTCTCGTCCTCCTCCTATGCCAATTATGGGTGGGAGGGGCAGGACGTCAGATACTCGTTCTCCCCCTCCCCCTCCGGCGGCAGCGACAGCGAAGGGTGTGGGAAGGGGGTGCTGGGGATGGGCAGGCGAGGGGAGAGCGGGTGTTCTCTCTTCCACCCTCCCTTCCCCTCCCTCCCTCCTTTGCTTTTGTCGCGCTCTATACATATATATATATATATGTATATACATGTGTGTACTCATCCTCTATATGTTCGTTGTCTCTCCTCTCTCTCTCTCTTTCTTCTTTGGTTTCTCTCTCTCTCTCTTTCTCCCTCCCTCTCCCACTGCAGGCTGATGTCCTTTCCGATCGGTTCTACTGGCACCTCCCTCCTCCTCTTCTGCCTTCTCTTTCTCCTCCTCATCCTCCTCCTCCTCATAATCCGCCACGCTCGTGGGATCCAGGGGTACGACTGAGGGGCGAGAATGGAGATAGGAACGAGGGCATAGAACAGAGGACAAGGAGTCCCCTCTGGAGCTGACTTCCTGAGAATGTCTGAAGCGACGCGGCAGTGTTCCATAAATCTGCCATGTTGTTCATGTCTGTTTACATGCACATATGTAATAAAAGCACAGACACACACACACACACGTATATACACATACATACAATAGTACATGCCTATGTGATTGAAGCTTGTTTGTCTGCGCACGGCCACCTCGCGGTTTTCAACCCTGCAGAAAAAGAGGACCAGAACAGTGCGGACGGCTGCAGTCATCAGCAGGATCCCGCACAACAAAATTGGAGCAGCCTGTCCCGAAGATGCGCGCTGCAAGCGCTTGGGTAATGCCCACTACAAGCATATCACACGATGATTTCTGGTATGTGCATCACCACTACAAGCAGATCAAACGATCAGATCTGCCACGTTCTACTTCACGTGGCGGCCACGAATGCACTCAGATTGTAATTCCTTGGGGCGGGTCGAACTTGCTCCCGAGCTCCGAAAGCTTCTTATGCGATACCTTGTAAGCATCGAAGAACGCCTTCTGGTCCTTAGCAAACAAGTCGAAATGCGGCTTGAACTCTGGAGCAGTCATTAAGCACTTGTCGGTTGGGAAGGCGACGCACTCTGGGTCATCCTTGGCCATGTCGGTGAAATACGTGTTGTCAAACTTCGTCCAATTCTTCGTCCAAGAGCGACCGCCAGCCGTCAAAGAGTTCGCCATGTACGGGCAGCCGCGCGTGGTGTACTTGGTCCCCCCCGTGGAGCCCTCCTTCACCGTGCCCGAGCGGTCCGCGAAGGCTCGGCCGAGAGTGTGGGCGCCGCTGAGGGCAACGATGTCCTTGTCGTCCATGCCGTACTTGTAGAACACGTACTTGAGGTGAGCCACGGGGTCCTCATTGAAGCAGACGCCGGGCAGGCCGAACGGGGGCGGCTGGAGCTCGGTGGGAACGCCATCCACGCGCCCATACTTCATGGGGATCTTGGGCCCGCCTTCCACTTCGATGCCGGTGGCGGAGGCCAGCTGAATGAGGTCTGCCCATGAGATGTCGTCGCCGCACGCGTCCTTGATGGGCTGAAGGTAGGAGGTGATAGCCTTCTGCAAACCCGCGTTCGGGCCCGCGAGAATCTCGTGGTCGGTTATAATCGAGCCGATGGCGCCGCCCGCATTGGGCCACGGTTTGCCCGCGTTGGCCTTGTCGTATGTGCCCGAGTCGTGCCAGGCCAGGCGCACGAGGATCGGCGCGCAGGACTTTTTCTTCACCAGCTCCACGACCAAACCCTTGGCCTTCTTCAGCGCCGCCTTTTTCTTGCTGTATGCCCCACCGCCGCAGATGCCCGCGAAACACTCGAAGCAAGACATTAGGCAGCTGCCGTTGCCCGAAGCACAATGCGACCTGGGCGATGACGTTTGGGGTCGAAATGGCTATGCCCTTGAGCCAAAATGGCTACGGAATGCAACGATACCAACTCAAGGAAGGTCCGCCACCGTGCCGCTAGGCACTCACTGGAGTGCCCTCCTGTCCCCTTAGGGCTCCCCGTGCTGAATACCGTGTATACTCTGCCAGGGGCTCAGCAGCAAAGGTACAACACTTCTCGGCGCCGCTCGCTTGCCTCCTGGGGCTTCGCACGATTTCAGCGCTCCCGCCGCACCGGGCTCCCAACGCTACAAACCGGAGGCCCCAAGATCGCCCCGCCCGCTGTGCAGGCGGACTCGCGGGCGTGTCCAGAGACCCAGCATGGGTATCCCAAGCGAGGTGCTCACGTCCGTGCTGGTGCCCGGATGCTCATAACCACCACGGCGCCAACACTGATGTTCACCACCCCCGCGAGGCCAACAGACAAGTGTATTTTGAAAGGCCGCACGGTGCCCTTAGTCAGGCCTTCGGGGCCTGAAGTCCCCACGAGCACTGAAGATCGTAGCCGCGGCGGTGCCCTCAACCCATTGTGGCGATCACAGCCGCATAGGCACTCAGCCCAATCCCTTCGTACTTCGGCCCTATCGGAGATATCCGCCACCATGCACCTGGGCACGAAGTGGGCGCGCCCTCAGGTCATCTGCCTAATCCTCGAAGCCTCAGTCCTCACTCCTCAAGAGTCTTGACGGGGCCCGGACCCAAGAGTCTCAAATCTCCCCGGGTTTGTCGCGATTCCCCTGGGCTCCGGCGCATCTCCTCGCAAGACTTTTGGGGGCCCAAGAGGGCCCCAGGACAGGCCAAGAGGGCCCCCACAGACGGTCCAATAGGTCCCCGAGACGCCCCAAGATCGCACTAATACGCCCAAGATGGCCCCAAGATGGCCCGAGAGGCCTCCGAGACGCCCCAAGAGAGCCCCAAGAGCCTGACCAAGAGGGCCCTGAGAGGCCCAAATTACTAATTTCCCTTATGGTTTTCAATGATTTGGTGGTTCTCGACTGTTTTGGGGGCTCCTGAGGCTCCAGGACGGCCCAAAAGGACCCCGAGACCCCCAAGACTGCCCAACAGGCCCCCAGGAGGGCCACAACAAAGCCCAAAAGGGCCCCAAGACGGCCCCAGAGGCGCCTACGACGGCCGAAGAGGGCCTCAAGACAGCCCTGGACGGGTCCCAGAGGGGGAACACGAACCGAAATCCAGGTCTTCCGCCCCATGAAGCAAGAAGGCGTCAACACGGCCCCCAACAGGCCCACGAGAGGCCTCCCGCGACATCCCAACGAAGAGCCACGAGGCCTGCGACCCACAACCCAGGAACCGTGGCGGGATGGGCCGAGGGCAACTAAATCCGCCGCCCCCTGCTTGCAGGGGTGCACGGCGTGCTGGACGATTCAGGTTTTGGTTTTGGTTCTTTTTCTAAAAGAACTCCCCAGTGGGCTTCGGCCCGTCCCGCCGGCCACCCGTAAATCTCATAAAACCCATCTGACAATGCCCAAAAACGGCCGTTTCGCTCGGGACATCCTCAAATTATCCCGGCAAAGCAACCTAACAGCGATGTGTAGAAGCATATCTGAAAGCATTCCCCTTAAGATTCAGATGAAAATCCAGTTGTCGAATTCTGCTGTTCTCGCAGTCGTAGTCGCATTCGCGATGACAGTCGCAGCGGCAACGGCAGTCGCAGTCACAGCCTCAGCCTCAGCCTGCCTCCTCCTCCTCCTCCTCCTCTTTCTCCTGCTCCTCCTCCTCCTCCTCCTCCTCCTCCTCCTCCTCTTCCTCCTGCTCGTCCTCGTTCTCGTCCTCCTCGTCTTGCTCGTCCTCCTCCTCCTGGTGCTCCTCCTCCTCCTCCTCCTCCTCCTCCTCCTCCTCCTGGTGGTCCTCGTTCTCCTCCTCCTGGTGCTCTCCCCCCCCCTCCTCCTCCTCGTCCTCCTCCTCCTCCTCCTCCTCGTCCTCCTCCTCCTCCTCCTTCCTCCTCCTCCTCCTCCTCCTCCTCCTCCTCCTGGTAGTCCTCCCCCTCCCCTCCTCCTCCTCCTCCTCCTCCTCTTCTGGTCTCCTCTTCCTGGTCGTCCTCTCGTCCTCTCGTCTTGCTCGTCCTCCTCCTCCTGGTGTTCTCCTCCTCCTCCTCCTCCTCCTCCTCCTCCTCCTCCTCCTCCTCCTCCTGGTGGTCCTCGTTCTCCTCCTCCTGGTACTCTCCCCCCCCCTCCTCCTCCTCCTCCTCGTCCTCGTCTCTCCTCCTCTCCTCCTCCTCCTCCTCCTCCTCCTCCTCCTCCTCCTCCTCCTCCTGGTACTCCTCCCCCTCCCCTCCTCCTCCTCCTCCTCCTCCTCTTCCTGGTCGTCCTCCTCCTCCTGGTCGTCCTCCTCCTCCTGCTCGTCCTCCTCCTCCTCCTGCTCGTCCTTTTTCTCCTGCTCCTCCTGCTCCTCGTCCTGCTCCTGCTCGTCCTCGTCCTCCTGGTCTTG